AAGATCCAGTCTGATATTATGTGCTGTCATCATGGAGAAGAGGAAATAAATCAGTTATTAGAACTTATAAACTTAATAAACCGCACGTGGGGAATATTTGTTAAACACAGAATGCAAATGTCATAGAGGATTAAAAGGTATCTGCAACTGTGTTCAGTGATTATAAATATTTATTAAATGTCTTTTTTTTTTTTAAGTGTAGTGTGTTTAGCACACACACACACACACACACACACACACACACACACACAAATCAATCTGCATTTGAGTCCATTACTGAAACATGCTCCAGGCTTTAATCAGTCTCATATTGATGCTCTCTTATCAATAAAGCACGATGGCAGACTGAGAGAGAGATGTGCTGCTTCTCCCAGCCCGCCGCTCGGCTCTCCTTTATTCAGAAGCACTTTATACATCACAGACTCATGTCAAACAGAAGAGGCGTCAGTGGAGCACAGAGAAAACAACAGCTCATAATAAACTCAATTAAAGAAAAGAAGCACCTTTAACAGAAGACTAATATTCAGTTCATCCCCTCCGCCTGTTCATCACACACATCATTCAATCTGTTTAATAGAGGCTGTGAACTCAAAGAAGGACAGACACTAATAATCTGCTTTCACAGACGTCCTCCTGCACAATCAGTGGAAACAGCATTCATATGGTTTACTGCTCGCATGAAGAAAAGCACTGCTCATATTAGCCCTCTCGGTTATTATTTTGACCAAAACTAAATAAATAATCAACTCTTCACACTGCTTTACAATGAGGTTTCATTTCCAGTTGATGACGAGCTGTTGAATTATTAGCCAATAATGCACACCTGATGGGGCTAAACCAGAGATATTAGCTGAAAATAACCTCAGAATGTTCATCAGCCAATCAGAATCAAGCATTTGATCAAGCTGTAGTATAAACTTTAATGTATTCACAAACAAGCACAAACAATAATGATTATATATATATATATATATATATATATATATATATATATATATATACAACAGTTCTGTCTGGTTCTCAAATCTGATTGGCTGAAAGCTGTGTGATATTCTGCAATATCAGAACTCCTACAGCCTCTTTACCCTTTGTGTATTCCTCCGCCCACATACAGCCAGCAGAAAGCAGACACTACACATCTACAGTGTAAAAGATGCACGCTCAGCTGTTTAACTGTCAGCTTATGATTTGAATCTGGAAGAAAGTAGTTCCTCATACAAAAGGGTTTTTGGAACTGTGTTTGATTTTGTTTTATATACACAATTATGCCGTCGAACTGTTGTATAAACACAATATCACACTCATAGCAGGCCTGCAGCCTTGTGCCATCGCACTCCTCCCACCAGTGTCGATATACAGCTATATCGCACTGCTACGAGTGTGATATTGCTCACATATATCCATATACAAAACGATATTTGTTCATATTTTATAATATTTGTTAGTTGGTTAATGATAACAGCCACTGTGGGTTTCAATAATGCTTTAGTAAATGATTAATAAATAAATATTGTTCATGTTAGTAAACACATTAACCAAACATTATAAAATGTGATAAAAATACTGTGATGTTTAGATTGACCTGAACGCCGTTGTCTTAAAGAGACAGTACAACTAAAAAACAATGGAAATCTACACTCGCATGCTTGGAAGGTTGTTTTGTTGAACTGATACCTGAATCTATAGTATTTATTTACTGTGCTGTGGAAGTCAATGGGTTCAGGTTTTCAACATTCTTCAAAATATCTTCATTTGTGTTTCACAGATTAAAGAAAGTCAGAAAGGTTTTCAATATTCAAAGGGTGACCTTTATGGGTTCATTTTGAATTGAACTGTGCCTTTGTGAAGGGACATGAAGCAAGGAGAAAGCATGGAAGCGTTTCAGCATTCTTCGAAATATCTTATTTTTCTTATTTTGTGTTCAACAGAGGAAAAAAAGAAACTTAAAACTATAAAAAGGAGAACTATTGATGACCAACTGTCCATTTGTTTGGAGAGTGAACTGTCCCTTTAAATCTTCTGGAGATAAGAAGGAACTGTAAAGAGCCGGTCCACCCATAACCAAATATTAAATTCCAGCATTCTTCAAACTATCTTCTTTTGTGATCGACAGAATTATCAAAATCAATTGATGACAGACTGGTTTTCTGGGGTGAACAGTCTCTTTAAATCTTTTAGAGATTAAAATAAACATTTAATCAATGCAAGCAATTTAAAGGGACAGTACACCCACACATGAACACAAACTGCAGCGGGTGGGTTAATGTCACCCATAGTAAAGAAAAATAAATATAGAATTTAGTTTAACAGGAAAGATGAGGGAGAATAAATGACAGAATGCTCATATTTGGGTGCACTGTCCCTTTAAGCAGTGCTTTTCTCTATGGTAAAACCCCCATTACACTCATTCTCCATGCGCAGTCTCTAGTGTCTGGGCCACTTCTGGTCTTTCTTCAGGTGTGCAGAAGGGATGAGAGAAAAACTTTTGGGTGGACTGTCCCTTTAAATCTTAAGACTTTTCATCAACGCAAGAGATTTAAAGTGACAGTACACCCAATAATGAAAATTAAATATCTTGCTCAACACAAAATAAAAATCCAGATTGATGTCAGTCATAATAGGTTAAAAATTATGGGGGAATTCTTCTAAATATATTCAAAAAACTGATTTAAAACAAAAAAAAAAGAAGAAGAGAATATTAGTTTATTTTGGGGTGTACTGTCCCTTTAAGTAGTGCTTTTCTCTATGTTCTGGTAAACTCTCAGTTATATTCTCTCACATGCTCTCTATCTCTATATCTTGTCCCTCTGGTGCAGGAGTGTCCAAACTGGGTCCTGGAGGGCCGGTGTCCTGCAGATTTTAGCTCCAGCTTGCTTCAACACACCTGCAAGATGCTTCTAGAAAGCGTAATAAGAGCTTGATTAGCCCAGGTGTGTCTGATTGGGGTTGGAACTAAACTTTGCAGGACACCAAGACTGAGTTTGGACACCCCTGGTCGAGTGTTTGTGCCACTTCTGGGGTCCCTTCAGGTGTGCAGAGAATAACAGAATGTTGTGGGTGCACCGTGCCTTTAAACCTTCAAGAGATAACAGATGAACTTTTCATCAATGCAACAACTTTTAAAGAGACAGTACACCCAAAACACAAACAAAACAATCTTCAAAACAAAATAAGAGTGCATGTTGTCACCCAGAACATTCTACAAAATATCTTCTTTTGTGTTCAACTGAATAAAAAAACTGAATGACTGTTTATTTTGGGGTGTACTGTCCCTTTAAATCATCAATGCAAAATATTTAAAGTGACAGTACACACAACAAATAAAAACAGGAATGCAGGTTGATTTCACCCAGAGCAGGACAATACATTACAGGAACATTCTTCAAAATATCTTCTTTTGCATTCAACAGAATTAAAAAAAAAAACTCATAAAAATGGAGAATAAATTATGACAGAATTATTTTTTGGGGATGCACTGTCCCTTTAAACCATGCAAAAAACTTTTAAAGAGACAGTACACTCAGAAAATACAAAATAAGAGTGCAGGTTGTCAACCAGAGCATTCTTCAAAATATCTTCTTTTGTGTTCTGAATAACTGTTTATTTGGGTGTACTGTCCCTTTAAGCAGTGCTTTTCTCTATGTTCTGGTAAACCCTCAGTTACACACACACACACACACACACACACACACACACACACACACACACTCTGGGTCTAGTGTTTGTGCCACTTCTGGTGTCTCTTGAGGTGTGCTGAGAGGATGAACCTCTGGCCGCACTGCTCGCACCTGAAGGGCATCTCTCCAGCGTGGTACACCACCGGGTTCTTGAAGTTGCAGACCTGGATCAGCTTCTGGTCGCTCTGCTGACTGGGCTGCGGCTTCTCGCTGGTGTGGATCTTCATGTGGCTGGTGAGGTTCCCCTGGTGCCTGAAGTTGTTCCCGCACTGCTGGCAGGTGAAGGGCCGCTCGCCGAAGTGCACGATGATGTGCTTCTTCAGGTCTCCTTTGCGCGTGAAGCTCTTGTCGCACTGCTGGCAGGTGAAGGGTTTCTCCCCGTTGTGGATCAGCAGGTGGTTCTGGAGGTTGATCTTCTGCGTGTAGCTCTTGCCGCACTGCAGACAGACGTACGGCCGCTCGCTGTGCACCGTCATGTGCTCCTTCAGGTCTCCTTTACGCCGGTAGCGCTGCCCGCACTGTGGGCACGGGAAAGACTTCTTGGCGTCACTGGGGTTTTTATCGTCCGGGTTTTCCACGGTGCTGAGGCTCTCCGGTTCCTCCAGCTCCTCGCTCTGAGACACGCTCTCCAGCTCCACGAGCTCTAACATCAACACAGAGAGGAGGAGAGAGAGAGACGGCTGTCAGAATACACAAACAGCCACATTCAGTTATATTCCTCAGGGGTCTCCACAGTGGAATGAACCGCCAACTATTCCAGCGTATGTTTTACACAGCGGATGCCCTTCCAGATGCAAGCCAGTACTGGGAAACACCCATACACACACACACACACACAATGCAGTTGATCAGTTCCCCTACAGCACTTGTGTTTGGACTGTGGGGGAAACCCAAACTGACCCAGACTGTCATTATGCAGTATCATGTTTGCTGTGTCTACAGATAGATATGTGTTTATAGAATGATATTAAATGGTTATAACTGATCACGGGCTTCATGTGAAGTGCCAGCTTACCGGGTTGTTCTGCGGTGTCCTCCTCACTTTTGACTCTGACAGGCTCCAGATCAGTCACATCCACGATCTCCACTTTAATGTAGTCCATTTCCAGCTTTTCCGCGATGAATCTGACATCAACAACAGCACACAGAGCAAACTGAAGAGCGCATCCGTCAGTGTGTTACACTCCACCACAACACACACATCCAACAGCACTCAGCATCCAGCGCTCAGCTATTCGCCTGTTAGCACCGCAGACCTGTCGACACTGGACAGATTACAGCACAATAACACTCTCAAACGTCAACATTCATCACATTGACCGCCGCAGAACCTTCCTAATAACGTCACTGCGCTTTCGCAGCTAAAAGAGCGAAGAGGTTTGAAGATTTTGCGCAGTTTTGCACCGCTAAAATGTATAAAAACACAGACCTTTATTCGGCAGACACAGGAGAAGGCGCGGTCGCAGACCTTATGACGCGTGCTCGCGCGTTCAAAATAAAAGTCTCCAAGGAATTTTTCTTGATTTTATTTATTTATTTATTTCATTATTTATTTATTTTATTCTTTTTAGCTCCACAAACAGCTTATATATGATCTGAAATGCACAATATTTTTTACATTTATTAGACATATCAGGTGTATATGCACAAAGTATCGGTATCGCCAATACCAGCTATAATTCACTATCGTATCGGATCTGAAAGGAAATCGGTGGTTATCGAACATCACTAATTTTAACCTCAAAACGACTGACTTCAGTACACTCCCATATACAACGGAAAATATTTAACCTCTTACCATTTATTTATTTTTTAATGCATTTAATTTACTTACAGTGCTCAGCATAATGGAGTGCAGCCCATTTTATAATTGAATGTTCCTCCATTTCTTAGTGAATATAGGTGATGCATTTAAGTGAATTTTAACAAAACAGATTTATTAAAAAGATATATTTATTAATAAAATATTTTAGTCACCAAACATATTTAGAAATTGAAAGATAATATAATTAAATTCAAGCAAAATATTCCAAAAATAAATCACAACCTACAAAATTCCAACTAAATACTTCATGTTTTTGCTTTTTTTTTGTTGTATTGAATATTTTTCTATGACATAAATTTGGCTGTGCTAGTTTTTGGACCATTATTGTAAGTTATTTTCTTAGATTAGCTCCAGATTAGGCTTCAGTACTGACTAATGTATATGCACAAATATAATATTGTAGATCTTTCTAATAAACATGAATTTAATTCATATTAGTGAGGGGTGTACGCATATATGCTGAGCTCTGTATGCTTTTATTTATTAATGCATTTTATTAATTTATGCATATTTATTCAGGTATTTATTTATGTATTTATTTTAATGTATTCATTTATTTATGCATTTATTTATTTAATAATGTATTTTTATTTATGAATTTTTATGCATCTATTTATTAATGTTTTTTACGCATTTATTTATTTTATAATGTATTTTTATTCATGCATTATTTATTTATAGGATTTATTTATTATTTTTATTATGCGTTTTATTTATGCATTTATTTATTAACACATTTGTTTATTTATGCTTTTATTTGTTCATTAACTTAATTATGCATTTATTTATTTTTATAAAGTTTATTAATGATTTTTTAGTACATGCATTTGATTTCTAAATTTATACTGCATTTCTATTCATGCATTTTTACACATTTATTTATTTATTCATTTAAGTATTTTATTAATTTATGCTTTTTATCAATGCATTATTTAACAATGCATTTTTTATTTACCGAGGTCACCAAAATCCAGCAAGGTAAACATCCTAAACTGTAAATAAAAAATCGGTTTACATAAACTTTTGGAAGCTGTTTGGACACCAATGTGTGTAGGTAAGCTAGTGTTTGCATCATAGGTCTACGAGTCAAATCCTGGAACGCCGCAGCTCTGCAGCTTTGCTTCAACCCTAATCTAATCCAACTAATCAGCGTTCAAGACTACTAGAGACTATTAAGCAGGTTTGAGTTGGAGGTAGTTGGAGAAAGAATATGCAGAGCTGCGGCCCACCAGGAATTGATCTGTATTTTGTACAGGTCTGGAGCCAGCACCTAAGCTTTTCACTCATCATAGCACACATGCTGCTAATGATGATATGACAATAAAAGTGATTTGATTTGATCTCTTTTATTAATTGCTGATGTTACAATAAGATCCAAATCACAGTGACTTTGAAGCCCAGAGCGGAGTGATGTAGCAGAGCAGTTATCTCCGCCCCCAAATATTGATTGACAGGAGCATATTAACATGTCTCCATAGTAACACATATAAACATGTCCACAGGACAGGATTTGCAGAGAGACTGGGATTAAACGGTCGATCTGTTGATCTTCAAAAAGCAGTATCTCATAGTGAACACAACTATAAACGAGGACGCTTCAATCACACGACAGGACGGCAAACTTTGTGGACGTTAAATCAGATTTAATCACATATTTAGCCATACTGTGACATTTGCAGAGAGTAGATGAGCAAAAACAGCACATGTTGACCTGAATTAGACTCAGATCAGTGGTTATTACTGTGGCCTCACAGCAAGAAGGTCGCTGGTTCGAGTCCCGGCTGGCTCAGTTGGCGTTTCTGAGTGGGGTTTGCATGCCCAAACACATGCGCTATAGGGGAATTGGTGAACTACATTGGGCGTAGTGTATGAATGTGTGTGTGAATGAGTGTGTATGGGTGTTTCCCGGTACTAGGTTGCAGCTTTAGGGAAATCTGCAGTGTAAAACATGCTGGAATAGTTGGCGGTTCATTCCGCTGTGGTGATAAATAAAGGGACTAAGCCCAAGGAAAATGAATGAATGAGACCCTCAGTGTCTGGCTTGTGTATGGAGTGTATGGTTCGAGTCACACTGATAGTTCTGTTAGTTTGGGGCAGTATTTCTCCCTGTGAATGACTGAAGACTTGTGATAAGTGAATCTCTTCCCACAGCGATGGCACTGGAAGGGTTTCTCTCCGGTGTGGAGTCTCTGGTGTTGCTGTAAAGGGCCTAGCTGTCTGAAGCTCTTCTCGCAGTGTGAGCACTTGTAGGGTCTCTCTCCCGTGTGGATCCTGTGGTGCTGTTTCAGCTCAGCTGACGTGGTGAAGGCTTTCCCACAGTCTGCGCACACGAACTCCTTCACACCCGCGTGTATGTTCTGATGGGTTTTAAACGTGGACAGCCTGGCGAAGCCCTTCCCACACACCGAACACAAGTAGGGCTTCTCGTTAGTGTGGGACATCATGTGGTCCTTCAGGTGGGACTCCTTCACAAACTTCTTCCCGCACTGATCACAGTCAAACGGCTTTGCTCCAGAGTGAATGAGCTTGTGGATCTGGAAGCCGTTCTCCCACTTGAAGCTCTTTCCACACTCGTCACAGGCGAACGGCTTCTCCTCGGAGTGGATTCGCTGGTGTTTATGAAGCGTTCCTAACTGTGTGAAACTCCTCCCGCACTGAGAGCATGTGAAGGGCTTCTCTCCGGTGTGCAGTCGGGTGTGAACTCGAAGACTTCCTCTATTTGTGAAGCTCTTCCCACATTCAGGGCAGGTGAAGGGTTTCGCTCCAGTGTGGATCTTAATGTGGCTTCTGAGAAGTCCTTTACTTCTGAAGCTCTTTCCACATTGAGGACAGGTGAAAGGCTTGTCAGGGTCTGCAGGATGAGCTTGTGTTTCTCCAACTGCACCATACTGAGATTCCTCCTGCTCCTCCTCTATTATTACTCTCTCGTCTTCATTTTCCACTTTGACTACAATGAAGTCTAAAATACAAAGCAGATTCAGAGTTTAGTATCAAACGACACCTCTATGATCTACATTCTTCATTATGAATCCGCAACAGTTGTCTGGGATTCTGGAAATACACTGAAAGCTTGTTAGAGTCGTTAGTGAAGAACTAGAAGCGGAAGTTCATTGATGAACGTGATTGGCAGGAAGCACAGCGGTTGCTAGGGTTTTCAATGTTGTTTGAGAATTGCTAATGCATTGCTAGTGTGTTTTTTCTATTGCTGAGTGGTTGCTAGGGTACTCTGGGTTGTGACCAGGCAAGCCTTATCTATATGTTTGATCAACTCATTATACTAATACGGCTTTCATTTTGTTCATTATTTATTCAGTTTTATTTATGCATTAACATATTTTTATGCATTTATTATTTATTTATTAATTTACGCATTTTTTTATTTATGATTTTTTATTTATAGATTTATCTATGCATTTATTTATTTATGCATTTTATTATCTATGCATGTATTTATTTATGCATTTTATTATTTATGCATTTATTTATTTATGAATTTTTATTTATGCATTTATTTATGCATTTATGTTTTAAGCATTTATTTATTTATGCATTTATGTTTTAAGCATTTATTTATTTATGCATTTTATTATTTAAGCATTTATTTATTTATGCATTTTATTATTTATGCATTTATTTATTTATGAATTTTTATTTAAGCATTTATTTATGCATTTATGTTTTAAGCATTTATTTATTTATGCATTTTATTATTTATGCATTTATTTATTTATGCATTTTAATATTTATGTATTTATTTATTTATGAATTTTTATTTATGCATTTATTTATGCATTTATGTTGTAAGCATTTATTTATTTATGCATTTTATTATTTATGCATTTATTTATTTATGAATTTTTATTTATGCATTTATTTATGCATTTATGTTTTAAGCATTTATTTATTTATGCATTTTATTATTTATGCATTTATTTATTTATTTATGCATTTATTTATTTATGAATTTTTATTTATGCATTTATTTATGCATTTATGTTGTAAGCATTTATTTATTTATGCATTTTATTATTTATGCATTTATTTATTTATGAATTTTTATTTATGCATTTATTTATGCATTTATGTTTTAAGCATTTATTTATTTATGCATTTTATTATCTATGCATGTATTTATTTATGCATTTTATTATTTATGCATTTATTTATTTATGAATTTTTATTTATGCATTTATTTATGCATTTATGTTTTAAGCATTTATTTATTTATGCATTTTATTATTTATGCATTTATTTATTTATTTATGCATTTATTTATTATTTAAGCATTTATTTATTTATGCATTTTATTATTTATGCATTTATTTATTTATGAATTTTTATTTAAGCATTTATTTATGCATTTATGTTTTACGCATCTACTTATTTATGCATTTTATTATTTATGCATTTATTTATTTATGCATTTTAATATTTATGTATTTATTTATTTATGCATTTTTATTTATGTATGTTTATTTATGCATTTATT